CTCGCTGGTCGCCCACCCGATTCGTCCTCGTCCTAGCCTCACCGCGCTTTGATCGCGTCGCTCTTATCCGAGAGCATGATCTGCAATCTGACAGTGGGATCGAAGCGACGACGCGTGCGCGCACACGCGGCCTCGAAGGAGGAGAAAAGGAGGGAATTATTTCGTCGAGAGAAAGGAGAATTGCTATAAGCGCTGTACGCGTGACACTCATCGACGACGCAGGTGGGGGACTCTCAGTGTATAGTGGGGGCAGCGCAGCTCGGGCTCACCCCCCGGGCGGCAGCGGAGAGAAAGGGGTCTGGTGTCCGCGACCACGAGACAGGTGGCCGACGAGCAAGGCGACAGTCGACCGGGAGGAAGAGGGGAGCGAGGCTCACGTGCACGAATATGAAACGTCCCTGATACGTCACGAGCTAATGCCCGTGTCTAACTGTCCAAAATCTGGCGGCGACCGGCCGCGGTCTGATTGCGATCCTGCTCGATATGCACGACGCTGGCTGGATACACCCTTGATTTCGGTGAGGGGAGTGGGGAGTGGCACCGGACAGGAGAGGGAGGGAGGGGGGGACAACCCCCGCGATGGCTTTTACGGAATGACATCAAAAACCGTTCGGCCCCATCTGATAGCGGGGGCAGGGAATGGGCCGAGCTGAGCTGGTTGGTTATTGCTGCCTCGGTATCCGGCGTATTGACCAAGTGCTAAAGGTCGGCGTGGCGTCGTCGGGCTGCTCCGGGGCCCACCGGTGGCACCCCCCTGGTGGAGGAGGAGGAGGTGGAGGTGGAGGTAGCGGGCCGCCCCTGCACGCCCCAACGGCGGCTGGCCGACCCCGCACTCGCCGTGCACCGCGACGCTATCGCGATAGAATGTCAATCGCAACCCCGAGCGACGCGCGGGCCGCGCAGACCGGGCGACCAGAGCGCATCGCGATAGTAGCTCCCCCGCGGCCCCGCCCCGCGCGACACAAACCCCTGCCGGCCCCGCCCCGCCCCGCCCGGGACACAGAGTTCAGACTCGTCACCGAGTCCGTCACTGTCGGCCGCCGACGAGACGTGGCCCATTATCGTCCGCTCATGGTATCGTGGGCAGCAAAGGCTTGCCGCGGGGTCCGGCCGCGGAAGCATGGGCAAGCGCTGCCCGCTCGCGGTGGCGACCGCCGTGACTCTTTCTGGCTTTCGAAAGGATTTTTATGACTGCTGCTTCGTAGCGAACTGGCGAGGCGTTTATCTTCCGCCCAACGCACTGGTCACGCCAGCGCCGGCAGCGGCAGGTGCTCTGCGCACAGGCAGCACCGGAAGGGCAGGGGGTAAACAAGTTTGGAAACTATCGCGGAAAAATATCGTGAGGTCACACATTTGAACGATGTAAAATCGATTGAAATTGATGAAAGTTGTCTGTGAAATCTACTTGTTCTGATGAAATAGCGGTGCACGACCAAAATTGCCAGTTGTTCATCCCTCGACTGGGGGCAACAACATTGCGCACATACGTCTCTCTGTCACTCACCTGGAAGGTCCTGCCCGGCCGCTCGGTGGTGGAGGAGGCAGGCGCGCGCGTCGCGGGGCTGGCCGCGGGGCTGGGCGTGATCGGAGGCGTCGTCGGGTAGGGCAGCGGGCTGCCGGCGGCCGAGCTGACGTCGCCGTCCGATGGGAGGTGCCAGAGCCTACATCGAGACTGCGGACAGGAGAGAGACGACGCGCACTTAGCAAAGGAGGGCAGTCGAGGACACGGCGACATGACGTCCAGGGAGGCACAGCAGCTCACCTCGGGGGTGACGGGGGTGAGGGGCAGGCCCAGCGGCAGGGGGTCGTGCTCCACCTCGGAGGCGGGCGACCAGATGCCGTGCGGGGCGTGCGCGCCCAGCGAATGCGGCGTGCGGGGCGTGCGCTGGAGCACGGGCAGCGGCTGCGGCCGGCAGGGCTTCTTGGTGCACAGGTCCAGCGGCCGCTCCTCCTCCTCGAGGTCGTCGCTCTCAGAGTCCAGGCGCGTCCCTGCACAAGAGCACGAGGTGGTCGATTTAGAGTTCTCTTGAGACTTTGATAATGAATGATAACGAATCCAGGCTCCGGGGAGCAACTTACCTCGGCGAGGCGGGCTGCAGTGCCGGGAGCGCAGCTCGTCCCAGGCGCTGCGGTACCAGGGCCAGCGGCCGATGCGCCCGTTGGAGTCGGGCGACGGCGACGGCCCCGGGGAGGTCGGCGACGTCGGGGACGCGCTGCCTGGGGAGCCCAGCGGCGACCGCGATCGCGGCGACACGGAGCGCTGCGAGCACGGGCTGCGCGGCGCGTGAGAGCCGGACAGCGCGCTGGGCAGCAGCAGCGGCGGCCACAGGTAGGGGCCGTACGGCCCCGGGATCACCGGGCCCAGCATGAGCGGGCCGTGGCTGTTATCTGCGGGGGAAAGAGAGGAATAGTGGTCAGCAGGGGGAGAGGAAGAGCAGGGATAGAGGAGGAAGAGCGCTCAGCAGGGATAGAGGAGGAAGAGCGCTCAGCAGGGGTGGAGGAGGAAGAGCGGTCATCAGGGGAAGATGAGAATCAGGGTTGGAGGAAGGAAGAGCGGTCGCAGAGTAAATGAAGAGTGCTCAGCAGGAGCTGGAGAACGTGGCGAAGGCAGAGCAGGAGACAATAATAGATGGGTTTGACTCTGATCGGACTCAGCCTATCGAACCGGGTTTTGAGCACTTATTCTATTTTATGTTTCCGTTTCAGAGCGAAACATGAACGAACTTTGGCTTGCGCGTAAAGTGACTATAAGTATCAGATCGAAAAGTCTATTTTTGAGAGGAGAAAATTATCGCACATGGTGCTGGGGGCGCGATGCCCGCCCCATATGCCCCCTTAGCTCGCCGGCGACTCACCGTGCTCCTGCTCCCTGAGCTGCTCCCGGAGCTGCTCCCTGAGCTGCTGCTGCTTGAGGCTGAGCGCGTGCTGCCGCCGCTGCACCAGGGTGAAGGCGCCCACGCTCCGCTGCAGCTCGGTGAGCGCCAGCGAGGAGGTGACCAGCATGGCGGGAGTGGGGCGCTGCGTCGCACGGCTCTGCGCTGCACAGAATAACGAGCACACCCTCAGGACACGGTCGCTTTCGGCGGAGGAGTGCACCAAGTGCACCGTGCGCTGCTCGGTGTGCGAGTGGCGCGTGCGGAGTGCACTTCGAAGGGATCCCCGACTGCCCCGGCAGCCCAGTCCGAGACATGAACGCCCGCTAATTCTCGGTAGAAAGCACGTTAACTATACTGCCGTCCCCGCCGCCCACCCCCCGCGCCCTGCCGTTGACGTCAAACGCCGCCAGTAACTATCCCAATAAAGCACGTGTCTGTGTGGATCCTCACGAGCAGTGGACATAAATTTCACCACTTAAGGAAACGCTGCGGCGGTGGCCTCGACTCGCATGTTTGCTTGATCTGGGCTGCCGCCGCTGATCCGAGCGGTGTATCCGGCCGCGTACGATTTGAGGTGATCGAGCTCGGATCGATTATAATCGGCCAGCTGTTCACACGCCCAACCTCTGCAAGGCCCATAGCAGGGCGCCGGCTTCACGCTGCGAGCAGACGGCTCAGACGCGCCGGCGGGCCGACACACAGTTGGTTAAGAAAAACACTTTTCATTTTCAATTTTTTACTTTTTTAAAAAATATCTGCCGTTGAGTCTCCGTAGCTTGCGTGTGCCAAATATGTGTCGTGTGTCGGATGTTGACACTGCAGTGTGTGGTCGCCCGCTGCCTCCCGCTGCCGCTGCCCACCGCCGCCCGCCCCGTGTTGTAATGTTAAAAAGTCTTTATCGACCCCGCGGAGTGCGGCGGTGGAGGCCGTGGAGGCGGCGGCCGCGGCGGGGCGGCGGCCGGTACACCAAAGTATTTGTAGGCTCCGCAGCTAATCGTCATCGGAAATCTGAGCCTGTGGCGTGTGCCGCCGTGCGGCCGCGGTGATGACACTGTGGCGTGTGTGTGTGTGTGCTCACACTCACACGCACACGCACACACACGCACGCCCACGCACACACATTGCGCACACCGAGTCGCGTGACGCGGCCTATGCACGGCTGTTTATTACATCATTAATACGCACAGGCAGACAAGACCAGCGCCAGTCCCCCGGCGCCCCCGGCCGCGGCCCCGACGACCTGCTGCACCCTGCTGCACCCTGCTGCACCTTGCCTGCTGCACCCTTCCTGCACCGCTCAACTACCGCAATGCTCGACACCGACCAACTGCCCTCATCCTACTCTTCCTCTTCATCCTCTTCCCCTTTCAATCATCCTTTCCGCCTGTATCGCCTAACAAGAACGCGCCCTGCTATGGATTTCTCAGTTCATGGTGACAATTCCAACGGAGCCAATACGATAAGCGCGAAACCATTTTATTGTCGCCTCTTTACAAGCCGCGTCCTCATCACTCATGCAGTGCCCCCCCCCCCCCCTCCCCAACCCATCGCACCAATTATGACTGGCTGCAATAATTCGGGTTGCGTGTGCGCACGCGGGCGGGTGTGTGTGTGCGCGCGCGCGCGCGCGCGTGTGTACGTGCGTGCGCGTGTGTGTGACTGACTGACTCTTACAGTATTTTCACTGATTTGTGCCAGTTCCACCAGTTTCCCGCTTAGTTTAAGCGATTTCTGGTGATTTCGATTAATTGTTATCCTGATGATTCCCAGCCAGGTGTACTCATGATCCCCGGAGTTGGCGATGATAAAAAGATTTCTCAGCGGAGATGCCCGTTGGTGCGATGCCGGTGCTGCCCGCCTCGACCGAGTGCTACCCGCATGTTCGGATGCCCGGTCACCTGCCGCCACTAGCGCTCCCTAGCAGGGAGTTTAATCGCGCTACCGCGGTTAGCGACTCCTGGACTCTGTTTCTTTTACTTATTTTAACTTTTAAAATGACGCCACTTCGCGCGCCGCGGGCAGCTCTCACGAGCGGGTGGCCCCGCCGGCGGCCACTATGCGTTCCCTGTGCGTGATCAGTCAGTGGTCACAATTAATTATTACGGCGAAAAGTGGAAACGGAGAGACTAGGGCGTTCGGAATTGGAGATGGGGAGCAAGCGACAAAAAAGAAAGGCAAGGCTGCGAGGTGAGGCCCGTTGCGTTCCGTGGCCGGGAAAAGTGAGAGGGGGGAAGAGATAGGGATGATGAATAATTTGAGGTGCAATCAGAGACAAAATGGCTGTGCGAGCTCCCCTCGGGGAGTCCGCCTCGGAGTGGAGCACTTTGGTCTTGCGAGTTAAGTACGCGACGTATTACGCACATCCGCCGGACCTGCTTGCAATTCGGGTTAAGCTAGTCTTTAACCATAGTCAAAGTTGGAACAGGGAGAAATCGAAATTGGAAAACGTTTTTAACTAAACCGGGGCATACTCCCTCAAACTCCAATATGGCTTAAAACAGACTTTCGTGAGGGAAAACAGGTCGTAACATAATATGCATTCTTCCGAGAAAAACTGTAAACTGCAAAACGTGACAAGCAGAAAAGAAATAATAAAAACCGGCATAAACACATCGTGCACACCGTGCCGTAAAAGCCTACGACCGTGTGAGGGGAAGCCAGGGCCGAGCGTAGCATTGACGTCAATCACGGAGGATGGGCAATGATTCGGCAAGTTATCTTTCGTTTTAACGGTTTTGTTGTCGTTTCGCGAGGGATGTCCACTCGGCGTCGTGCGGCCCGCAGCTCGGGGCTCGCCGTGTGGCGCTGCGGGCTCCACGGGGAGGGCGAAGGAGAACGTGCCAGCTGTCAGCGGGGCGAGCTAGCGGAGCCGCGGAGCGGGCGGGGGGCGGCGGCGGCAGGGGTAGGCAACCCGGCCACAGCCGCGCGCGCTGTGGCCTATCCTCTACGGCGCTCGGCTCCCGCGCGGAGCGCTAATGAGACACGGAGAGAGAGGGAGAACGAGAGGGAGAGAGGGGGGAGGGGGAAGAGAGAGACAGAGAGGGGGGGGGGGGAGAGGGGGAGAAAGAGAGAGACAGAGAAGCGGAGGGAGAGAAAGAGAAGACACACGACTTGCCTAGGACTGTGTGTCTCCCTCGGCCTGTCGTCTCCCTCGCACGCCCGGGCTCGCCCCTCGTCAATGAAAGACTCATGCGTGCCGGGCGCCGCGGGGTCGCGGCCGCCGCGAAGTCGCCTCTTTTGCTAGGAAACCACTTCCATCCATTCCCGAAATTGACCCTCTTTCGCATTCATTGATCCCTATGCCGTCCCGCGTCCCGCCCCGCCCCGCCGCCGGGTCACCCCTCACCGGACTGGCCGAGTGATTTCCACACGGTTCTCAATAATTCAGAAGCCGCCCGCTTCTTTTCCAAACTTTTATGGAAGTCGAAGAGGAGTCTCGTCATGACGTCTACACGAACACGTCCCCTCGCGGCTCGAGGGAGGAAATATGAAATCGAGGCAGAGTGTGCATTCAACACGACGCGAGTGGAGTGCTTCCCCATCGCCAGCAAATGCAAAGAAAAGAATAAACAAAAATCCTCGCCGTTTACTCGCTACACAAATCCCTCTTACAAACGCCACACGCTAGGTATGAATTTGCGGGACATTCTATGATTCTCGCGACAAGATCTTTTCAAAACAGGCGGCCAAAGATGACACTTCCATATAAAACCGCAGTGTCACTCTACACACAACACCAGCCAGCACTGAACCGTGAACCGGCTGTGATATACTCACAGTTTGCTTAGTTGAAGCAGAAGAAGGGTTAATTCAATCCAAATGCGCACGTGACTGAGCACGCGTTGAAGACGATGATGGCGGTGACGATGGCGAGGGTGAGGTCAGAGGTCATCCCGGTTGTCACACATGATGGCACTGAGCACACACTCGTTGAGCACTGGCTGCACACGCGCGGAAATACACACACACTCACTCGCGCCGGGGGTTACGTCCTGCTCGCCGGGCGGCCGCTTCGCTTCTGACGACCGTCCGCCGTCCGCCGCTCAGGCCTCACCGGCTGGGGCCCGCGCCTCCCTGGCTGCCTGCCTGGCTGCCTGCCTGGCTGGCTCACTGCCGTACCGCCTGCCTCAGCGCAGACCGAACACCCGCGCCCGACTGAGCCCGCTCCGGGTACGCACCTTCATTTTGACCTACCCGCCGCTGCTCCGCGCCGCTCTGCCCGCCACCCCGGGGGGTGGGGAGGCGAGGGGGAGGGCGCGTGCCCCTGGAGTTGGGACCTGCCGCTGGGGAGGG